TATACTTTTTAAATTTTCCTTTTTTTGGGTAATTAGTACATAACGTCCACACATTTAATTACTATTGTGAAAAATGTCTTTACCTTTTATTGTTTTGGTATTTTCACCATTATCCACTTTTCGTTACGCAAAACGTTATTTTCATCCATTTTCTCAATTAAAAATTGTGAAATAACGAATATACACTTCTCTTTAAATAAAACAAAAATAAAAAGAAAAATTAATTGCAATCATAATTCCAATTTTTTTAAAAAAATGTAAATGAATTCCAAATAAATTATTAAAAGGATAATTAACACATAATGTCATTACCTTTCACTATTATTGTGAAAAACATCCTGACCGTTTTTTTTTACATTTCCACCATTAATTACACATTTGGTTGCAGAAACCATCCATTCTACCCATTTTCATCCAATTTCTCAATAAAAAACTGTGAAATGATAAATATACCATCATATTTAAATAAAAAAGCTAAAGAATTAATTGCAAATATAGTCCCAAAATTTTAAAAAAATTAAATGTGTCCCAAATAAATTCTTAAAAAATTAAAATTTATTTTTTTAATTAAAAAAAGTGCAAACAAGCCCCAAATGAATTATTAAAAAAATTAAAAATTAGTTTTTCTTAAAAAAGTGTAAACGAGTCTCAAATAAATCATTTAAAAAATTAGAAATAAAATTTTTTTAATTTTCTATTTTTTTAAATAGAAGGGTATATTCATCATTTCACAGCTCTCAATTGAGAAATTGGATGAAAATTGATAGAAATGATGATTTGTGCAATTAAAGGTGCTATTAATGATGAAAATGCCAAAAAAGAAAGAAAGAAAGAAAGAAAGATTGGGATGTTTTTCGCTATAATAATGAAAGTTAGGGACATTGTCTGTTAATTACTCTTTTAATAATTTATTTGTAACTCGTTTGTTCTTTTTTTAAAAAATTGGGATTATGCTTGCAATTATGTTTTTTCTTTATCTTTTATTTAAACAAAATGGTATATTCACCATTTCACAATTTTTAATTAAAAAAATGGATGAAAAAGACCTTTTGCGCAATAAAAGTTGAAAATAAGGGTGAAAATGTCAAAAAATGAAAGGTAAGAATGTTTTTCACAATAACAATGAAACGTGGGGACGTTATATTCTAATTACCTTTTTTGTGTTTAATACATATATTTGTATCCCATAATTAAATTGTTAGACGACTCTCGAGTCAAATTTTGTCATCTCCTCAAACTTCTCAGAAAAAGATCAAGCTAGCTATGGTTAAAAAAAATTGTTCGCTTTAAAGTATTGAACTAGATAAAGTTTCCAATCATGCTACATGTATATCATCTTTTACATCATTGTTTACATTGTGTCATGTGGCAGCACACTATTGGATAGTTTAAAAAATAAAACTTTCTCCTGCCTACAATTTTTTGAAACTATGAGTGAAATCAAATTAAGTGTACATCCTTAGCATTGTTCTTAAGTTTGCACAAAACATCACTATGGATTGAATTAATCCATCTATGTTAGATACAAATTTAAATAAAATCGATGTTCTCCGAGCATAGTTCAGTGGTGCAAATGATAGGAGTGAGGTAGTCTCAGTTGAGCTGGCAACTGCAATGTGAAGATTCGATTTCTATTTCTTATAAGGTATGAAATTTGAATTTTTGTGGGCATCAATATAACAGCTTTGTACCTTGGCCTGCTGAGACACATTCCACGATTTGCCTCCTTCACGATGCTCTAGGGGCGGGGCAGGGTTCAACCTTTTTTTAAAAAAGTAAAATGGACCTGCAAAGGGTGTGAATTTAGGAAAAAATAAAAGTACGACAGAAGATTTTTTAGTATAATACCGTACTAAAAGCATAGAAAGCCATCACGCAAAATATGCTCAAGTTTTGGCACGAGGCTCCATTTACCTAACTGTGATACCAAAGAGACAAAAAGAGATTTTTGCTGATCTTTCCGTATATAATAGTATTCAATAGCATATTAATCAACCAAATTTTATCTATTATTTCTTTCTAAGTATTCTCTAATTATTATACCTACCAAACATTCTTATCTTTTAGAAGATATGTGATTTCAAAGGAGGCGCTAAGCTCCTGTCTGGCTCCACTTCTAACAAGATTAAAATCAATTTTTATGCAGTTGCAAAGTGCAAGTGGGTCTCAATATCTGGCTTCTATTGAGAAGGAAGACAAATGACGGCAGCAACGGTACAATAACTGATTAAAATTTGGATGAAAATTTCTCCCAAACAGGCGCTAAATCTATTAGTAATAGGGTTTAGTTTTGTTGCATTGTTGTTTTGTTATAGGCTTGCTTACAGGAAGCTATCAGAATCATTTCCATTTTTCTTCTCCCTCTCCACTTCTGAGGTTGTCTCTTCACATGCACTGTGTCATTTGACTTAAACAAGAAATGCTGAGGTTTCTTCTATGAAATGCTGCCTGCTGCTGAGGTAAATTCACTGTTACTGTTTCTTGAAACCTTAAAGGAAACAAATAATTGGACAGAAAATGTTGGAAAGTGGATTGGTTATATTTTTCTCTCCTTTCCATTTTTGTTTCTTGATTCTGAGGGCCAATTTTATGCTTTTTCTTGCAGTTTTTGTTTCTTTTTGGGATTCAATTAACAGGATCAAGTTATTATTTAGGCTGCAAGAACAAAGATTTCATCTCAGATATGCAGGTTCAGGATTAATTGAATTTATGAATGTCTAAAGAACATTGGACAAACATGGGAAGTATTTTCCAGTTCAGGTAAGAAAATTTTCTGCTTCAGGAGTCTCCTTAGGAAATTTCAAGAACTAATAACAACATATTTAGTATGTAGTGTTGAATCTACCCTAAGTAAAGACATGTATTGTCAACACCAAAACACATTAGAACAATAATATAATTTACACCTTAAATATATCGGCCCCCTAAGTAAAAAATGTCAAATCCACTCTAAGTTGCAAGTTTTGTACAAAACACTGTGAATTGCTTCATAATATGAAAAAAAGTTCGTTATTAATCCTATTGTCTTTGTCACAGTACAAAACCTGCTATAAGATCAGTTGCAGAAGCATTCTTTACTTAATAAAGGGAACAGTCTTGCCTTATATTTTAGTTGACATTCTGATTTACATTGTACCATGTGACACATAATTTCACCATTGATTTCGCCAACACTTAAAAACAAACTTCGATTTTGTCATCCATTCAAATGTCATCTAAATTGTACATAAACATTGTATAAGTAGCATAATTCTAAGGGAAAGCTAATACATGTAAAGAAAAGAAGTAATCTGCACGAATTGATCCCAAAGCTTTCCTTCTAATATTTTCGAGATTCATGCAGAAACATTTATAGTTTAAATTCTCCAGAGCTCATCTAGCAGAACTAATATTATGGATAACACGTAGCTTACATACCAAGACTTTGACAGTTAACATGAATTAAACAGCACACACTAGTTCTTGTTTGATTTTGATTTTTTTCAAAATCATTATTTCTCATCACATCCTTCCAATAAAATAATTTTGTACGTGGATTCATAAATTTCCTGTACAAAAATCACATTCTTTAGAAAATAAAAATCATAAAATCAAATTGAACAAGTATTAAATAAGAAAACGAAATTAGCAATTTTGTTCATAATTTTGTCCAATATGGTCTAGTACTAAGCACCAAATACGTGTAAATTTAAAAAGGAACATCTTCTAAAAGATGACTCTAATAGGTTAAATTGCACCAACGAGCAATGCGGTCTATGATACGAAATAAGATTTAGAGAACTGCAACTGATTTCTAATCTAAAATACATGTCTTTTGGTTTTGCTTAAAAAACACACTTCCACGATTTGAGCTGAGAAAAAAAAAAGCTAAATAAGTTGTTCGAAGTACCATAAACATGATTTATGTCACTAAAAATTACTTCTATAGCTAGCAATAATTTGATAAGAAACAACTATTCTGTCTTCTTGACCTTAAACACAGACACACACACACACACTGATGTCACCAAGCATTGCTCAAATAGAAAATATATGCATTTAAAAATAATATATTTGTCAGAGAAAGAACTCCAAAATACATGTGAATGTTGAAACTGTACTAGACCTCAGTTGGGAAAAATACCTTATGAATAAGTAAAAATAGTGACCCATAATAGTTTCTAAAAAGGTTATAACTTATAAGCAAAGAAGAGGAGGAGGAGGAGGAGAAAGGAAGGTTATGTTCTTGGAGAAATACTTAAAAATTATACAAACAATTTTGGCTTTTTTTTTTTTACTTGAGTTATGAATAAACTTCTACAGCACACATACATATAAAAAAATCAATATTTTTCTACTTGATGGTGAAGCTATTGAAAATAAAATAGTATTTTTGAAATAAAGGAATTCAGACATTCTGATAGATCATTGAAAACAAAACCCATATATGTGCTTCAATATCTAGTACTTCAGCCTTTTTGCTGCTCTTGAACCTGTGATAAAATGAGGTACCTTAGCTAGGCTAAATGTTTCTATGATGTCAATTTTTGGAATCCTTTTCAAGTCAATGGACATTAATGTAGTTTTCTAAATAACATTTTGATCACTGTCTTCAATGAAAATTCGCATTTTTCATCAATTATGCATAATTCTCATCTGATTTTGGTCCTTTAGTGCAACCTTTTTAGTCTTAAATGAGCACAGCTTTTCTTCTTCCCTTTTTTCTTCTTCTTCTTTTTTTTTTTTTCTCAAATTTTAATTAAGATGGCATGGAGAGAAATGAAATCAGTAAACTATTAATTATAATGATTAAGAAGTGTAAATCAGAGTATTACGTAATGTCCTTGCATCAGCATATAGAAATTGATATAGATACATAGAAAATCCATAGAAAATTATAATAAAGCCTTTGCACATTCACTGAAGGTTCAAATTGTTGAAATAAATAGTAAAGCTTACAGTACTTAAGTAGGATAAACCGCGCATTGATCTTGACCTTATGTATAGGCGTACCAAGGTTCCTACATGTTCGAAGTGCTGCAAACAACAATAAAATTATGAAGAAATAAATTATCAAACTCACAATTTAAATGACAAAATTGTAATGGATTTTACCGTTTAATGAACTTATGCTGATCAAAAATGGCACATAAGCTTGACTGTGAGCTGAAATCCCAATTTTCAGTAGCATTTGGTGAAAAATTGCAGTTTGAATTCGAATCTTTCACAATAATAAAGTTTTCTTGGAAGCCAAAAACAGAAGAAGGCTTTAACTTTCTTTTGATCACAATGGATTCCTCAATCATATTCTTAGCTGCTAATTCATCAACAGCCACCTTCAAGCAGGAAATGTTGTGACTATTAGAATTATCTGATATCTTACTAATTTCAATCTCATTCCAAGGCCTTGTTTGATTTTGAATGGAGGGGCTCAAATTAGAAAGTTTCTTGGCTTCATTGAGCCATGCGATTGACATTTTTTCTCTCGTTCTTTCCCTTGCTCTTGCTCTTGCCTTCGCCCTCAACTCTCTTGCAAGATATATTGCAGCCTGTTTATCGTCCATCAATGATTTCCTCTTAGAATCCATCCTCAATGATTCCCCATTTTCAGCATCTTCAGTACTATCTGCTAAAACTCCCTCGCCTTCTCCATGGTTTAACTTAACCTGCAGCTCTTCAATAGCTGTTTTCGAATTCATAAGCAGCCAATCAAGGGTTTTGCTTGGTTTGTCAAAACCTAGCATTTCTTGAAGATCAAAGAACTTACGTGCAATACCGATGGAAAGCCTCACTCTTCGATCCCTTGGACCTTGAGCTGTAAATATTTTGCTATGCCTATCCTTTTTAACTGTTTGCTTCCTTGGAAATCCATTTAGCCTGTCAAAATCTTGACAATTAGTTAATGTGGTCTTGTTTGAAACAGGCACAGGCAGGTCGATAGTTGCAGGTACCACGGGAGCATTGTCCACGATATGGTGCCCAGAAACCAGATCGTGGGGGTGGTGAAGAAAAAAATCAGTGCCATTTAGACCAATAAAAGAAGAGGAAACCTGGAAAGATGGTAAAATCTGTGGAAAAAGGTTTGAAGAAAACATTTTGGGGGAAAAAATGGAATAGTAAATCCTATTCTTTTTTATGAAGGATCAAGATAAATGCAGAAGAAAAGGCTTGTAATTCTTGAAAGGTAAGAATATATTTCGGGAATCTTTATGGTAATTGAGGAGTCTGTTCATAGAGAAATTAAGGGCATTTTGAAAAACCTAACAGTGTCCAGCAAAAAGATCTAACAAGAGTGAGAGAGACCTAAATTCTTTTGGGTGTGATGGAGAAGATATAAATGAGCTTGTGGGGGAAAGGTAGAGTACTTGTTTTCTCCAGCAAAAAAATTATGTATAATTTTTTTTCCTTTCAACACTGATTGTTTGTTTTCTTCCTCTTTACCTTTCCAAATGATCGTATTTTCAGTTCATATTTTACAATATAATGAACAAGATATAAATTTTTATTTTTTTAAACTTTCGGACAATATTTAGAGCTTGTTTGTGAGGGATTAAAATCAAATTAAAATTGAAAATATAGTCGTTGGAGTTGACTTTTATTAGACGAGTGTGACCCAATAACGACTATATTTTCAATTTTAATTGAATTTTAATCATTCCTAAACAAGCTAAGCAGAAAAGAAACTCATAATATTATACTTACTAGTACGGCGGAAATTGTATCAAACAGTCATAAAACCTCATTTCTTAGAAATTAACATACAAACAATAACTACACACACATCTTTATGGCCAATTGTAGTTGGATGCATTACAAGATACTATTCCAAGAATAAGCATAACGAAAATAAGTGCATAATTTTATAGGTGGGCTTTCACATTAGTGTGTAACCATTTATGTTTTTCCAAAAGCCGTGAGCTTTATGTGGGGTGTGGACAGTACCATGCTTGATTATTCAAACAATTTATAGGAGGCTAAATCGTACCTTTGTCTATAAACCTACAGAATAGACAAATTTTACTGCATTCTGATTGGCCCCATTGTCTCATCCCCTTCAGTTCTGCTCATACAGTAATCAATTCATCACAATCAGCTTATTTTATGATGGAATTGCCTATTTACTTCTTCTTTACTAACTGCTTATAGCTTATCTGGGTGCAGCCTATTTTGGTTTGTGACCTTTCCCTTTTTTCTGAGATTTTTGGGGTTAAAACGGGAGTAATTGTACTTTCTGCTGTTTTAAAAACTCTAATTTCTGAAGAATCCCGTGAAGCAGTTTTCATGCCCTAATCTTTCTACTGCAGTACACAGTCTTATTGGTATAAACCCTAAACTTATTCTTATCTGCAGTGGATAGAAAAGGGAAATGATATTATTTTCTATATTTTTGGAAATTTTTTTGAAAAAAATCCCAAATCACTCAACCCTGATACACAAAGATGCTTATACTGAATAATTTAAAGGAAATTAAAGATATAAAAGTAGTTTCAGTAGGCAAGAAAGGTTGTTTTGGTTTCACAGTTTCCTTTCACATTGCATTCACCGAGCATGGTGTCCTGCTTTCCTCTTTCTCAGTGAAATTTTGTTTAGTGTCCGTTTGATTCGGAGATGAACTTTGGGTGGAAAGAAGACGAATTACAGGGAATCGAATTGCCCAGAACTTGTTTTACTGAGAATTGTTAATTAATTGTCTTTGATTGGTATAATTTTCTATCTGAAAAATATTGAAATTTTTTATCTTTTGGTTTTCGTTTTGACTTTTTTTTTTTTAATGAAAATTGTCAATTAAAGGGATATAATTTCTTACAATTGGGGATATAATTTGTTTGGATTGCCAAAAAAAAAATTGAAATTTTTTTTTGTTCGTTTGGTTTTGTTTTACATAGAAATTATCAATTAAAGGGATATATATTTTTTTTTTAAACAATTGGGGATATAATTTGTATCTATTGCAAAAAAAAAAAAAAAAAGATGGAAAATGTGGGATTTGAAATTCAACTAAAACCAAGTAAAGGTGGCAAAGTGGAAAATCAATTCTTAGGAGGAAAAAAAGTGCCATCAAACATGACAAAAATGGGGAATAAAATTTCAATTCCATTTTACATGGAAAAAAAAATGTCTATCAAACAGGCCCTTAGTCATAATTTTTACCAATGGAAATACTGATGTTAGTGACGAAAATGTACATAGTCAATGTGTTTTTTTTTTCGATGTTAGAGCATCTTCAACAATGCTCTTTATTCTAAGGAGCATCTTCTTTTATAATAAAGATCATCTTCAAGAATAATTAAAAATAAAGATTTTTGTATAAGTTTAATAATAATATGTATATTTCATCTTTATTTTGACTTCAACAAACCATTATGGTCCACTATTTTCTCTATTTTTCATTTAAATTCCTTTTTTCACATTGCCATTTTTCTTTATTTTGAAAGAAATATTTGAAAAATTATGAAATAGTAAAATGACAACACTAAAATTATTATATAGTGAATTTGACTCTCTATCTTTGAAGAGAATGTAAAGATCGAGAAATTAATCATAACGGGTGAAAAAGAACTTGTAGCATTGAAAGAAGAGGAAATCCTCGACTTCATCGTTTGCTCAAAAATGGAGTTTGTGATTAAGCATTATGAGGAGATTGAAGTGTATATTGTTGAGTTCGAAACGGATGATGAGAGGAAGTCATACCACTTGAAGAAGGACAACATTAAACTTTGGAAGAAAGTTGCAATGTGAAACAAAGTCAAATTAAGCAAGCTAAACAAGACTTTCAAAACCATATTCAAAGTACCATGAAACACTAGTGAAAAAGTTGAGTTCTAGACTTTAAATTAAACTCTTAATGTGAGGCAACCCATTTTTCTTTGACTTACCTCTTATTTTGATTAATTATTGCATTACAAATAGATTTTTAGGGATTGCATTAGTATTTGAGGGTAATATTTAAGAACTTATGCATTTAAATGGTTTATTTTGAACACATTTTAGGTAGTATTTCAAGACTTGCATTAGTAACTTAAACATGTTTACTTATTGAATTCAATTTACTTAGGCTCATCGATAAAATCCTAGATTATATTGAGCTTACATTGATGTGATATGCCTTCTTAATGTTGTACCTAGATTTCAATCTTCAAACGAATTTGAAAAACTTATATTTCCTAACTATAGGATTTTTGTAGGGATATACGTTCTGTTAGATAGTTTTCTAAAAGTTATAAAAGTTAGAATATTATAATTCTTTTTGGTGTGAATTCATTGCAAATATTTAAACTTTATATACTATCACTAATATTTATTTTAAATTCTTGGAACATAAATTTAAAATGTAGCAGTAAGGAAAAGTGACGGTTGTTTTGATGTCTACCAGACTAATTTCTCCACTCATCCACATCTTCTCCCAGAGAGTTTTTGATCTTTTATTCCTTTATTTTGTTTATATTTGTTTTTATATTGGGGACAATGTAATCTTTTTGTTTGGGGGTAAGTATTTGGAAAATTAGGATCTTTATTGCTTGTTTTTCAACTGCTTATCGGGTTTGTTTAACAAATTTAATCTGAAAAAATTGAAAAAAAATAAAAAATAGTGTTTAGTATAACGTTGAACGACTTGTCGCCTATGATGATATTTGTTTGAATTGAGTATAACTTTAGCTAGAATTGGATAATATCGTATCTTGTGCTTTTACTTGAGTGCTTATTCATGATATACTTGTTTACTTGAACACATAGCCATCATTGACTTATCATTTATGTTAGAGCATGCATTGATTATGTGAATTTAATTGTTGATGTGTTGACCTAAGTTTGAATAAAATCTCCAAATCCTTTATATAGAAACCAAATTGCTAAAAAAGCAGTTTGGGGTGGGAATGTTAGTGTTTGTGTTCATAGAAATTTGATGGCTTGGAGTTCTTGGATCAGATATTTGATTGAAGGAGTTTGGGTTAAGAAGTCCAGAACGGGCATTGACAAATGTTGAACCTTGAATCCCATATCAAGAGAAAATGTGATACATCTTACATTTCTCTTCATAGCCTTCACGACTTGAGTTATTAAATCTATTAGGGTATTTAAAACATAGTGTCATATGATTATTTGGTTTGGGAGTTGTCGACCTAAAACTCACTACATGGGTCATTTAGAAAAGCATAATGAAAAGAAATTTTCCACATAAGATGTCTTGAACAAAAAAAGAGCAAATATATATTCATAGCGAAAGAAAGAAAAATGGACTTAGATTATCAAAAGTAAGGGGTGCCTGGTAAAAACTTTGAGATTTGAATTCTAGAGACTGGTGGTGTAATTTTGAGAAATTCTTACCATCTCTTTTCTAAGTGTACAAGTATCTAATTATGATCACTTTGTGTGAAAAAAAATACATTTTAATGATTATTAAGAATTCTCATGTGCAAAAAATACCTCAACATTGGAGAGAAGAGCATAATGTATGATTTTGCACGAGAGGTATGAGGAAAAACTGACCACACAAGGAATGAGATTATAATTAAATCAAGAACACTTAATTGGTTGTGTTCTAGTATGGGTGTGAGTTCAATATTGGCTAATCACACGCGCGCGCGCACACACTAAGTCAAGTATCGGATAAGTAAAAATTATTTTTGATGTTGTTTGGATATTTCTAAAGTGTTGTTGTAAGCTGTTTAACGTTGAAATTGTTATTAGAGATTTGTAATACGGTTTATTTCCTAAGTTTTGTCGTGTTTTGTTTTGTTCGAGGACAAACAAAGGTTTTAGTTTGGGGGGTGTTTGTTGTTCAAGAGCCTATTTCAGATAAGGGGTGTAATTGGTTTAGTTGGACGATTTTTTTCCATTATACAAGCCAAACCTATAAAACAGTTTGGAAAACTCCAAACATAATCATAATTTTTGGTTTGATTTGATTTCAAACTACGGTTTGAACATTCTCAAAGAAATGCTCTAGTAATCCTGAATTTTTCTTCAATTTACACAAATTTAATATATGACTAACTATCGTTATGTACGGAACACCTTGATAAATGATGTTACTAATTAAAAGAGAAAAAGCAAGGCAAAAGATTCACTGGTGTGCTATTTAGCCCCTTATATA